TACAAAGAGTTCAACTTCTTTCCTCTAGCAATAACAAGATTCTCTCTGGTAATTGTCCAATGGCCACCACCTTCAGTGCTATGATAACCCTCATCATCAAGTTTTCCAACAGAAATAAGGTTCAGACACATATCCGGAACATGTTTGACATTCTCCAAGATAAGAGTACAACCGGTATTCGTTACCAATGATACCTCTCACATGCCGACAACATCGCATGAGGCTTGATTGCCCATTCTTACACGACCAAAATCTCCAGGTATGTAAGAGGTAAAGAAGTGTCTGTGAGGCGTCACATGATAAGACGCACCTGAATCACCGAACCAATCACTATCGTGACTCGCTACATTAATTGTATCAACATCACTGGTAGTTACTATTGCAGTAGTATCATCATCACTTGATTCATCCTTCTTGCCTTTACCTTTTCTCGGTGCTAGTTCTCTCTCGAGAACCTTGCACTCCCTCTTAAAGTGCTCATTCCCTTGACAATGGTAGTACACGACATCTTTCTTGGATTTAGACCGTCCTCTGGACTTGTTATTCCGATCATGTGGCCCTCTACTTTTACTTCTCCCTCTTCTATCTGACTTTTCTGTCACCAGAGCCTGCGACTCAGACTCAATACTATGCTCTTTTCTTCTGACTTCTTCATTTATCAAAGCCTTTTTGACCTGATCCAAGGTCAAGACACCATCCTGGGTTGAATTACTGATTGACACTACCAAAGTGTCCCAACTGTCTGGAAGAGAAGTAAACAATAACAAAGCCTGCACCTCATCATCCAACTTTAAACTTACATTCACTGCCTGGTTCAATAAACCCTGAAACGAACTCAAGTGCTCATTCATGCTAGCACCATCTTTGTACCTCAACCTGGTGATCTGTTTCAGCGCAGATGACTTATTGATGCCAGACTTCTTCCAGTACATATTCTGGATTTTCTCCCAAAGTTCATCAGCTTTTGTTTCTCTCGAAAAGTGATGAAACACACTTTGATCAATCCACTGTCGAATATTACCAACAGTTTCCTGTGCATATCAGCCCACTTTTTATCAGTCATATCACTTGGCCTACCTTCATCCCCTAGAACAGGATCAAATAAATCTTTCCAATACAACAAATCTTCCAATCTAGGCTTCCACATATGGTAATTGGATGAAGTCAATTTAATCATCGTACCAGTACCCGATGACTCTTCCATTCTATTGGTGTAACACCTCAACTACCGAACCGTAGCTCTGATACTACTGTTGTGGCAGAAAGGGTATAAACACAACAAACCAGCGGAAACGATTCCCAAGAAAAACTTCTTTCCTACTACCAATAAAGTAGGACAACCAAACAAGTAAATAATTCAAGAACGGATAAAATAAAAGAGGCACACGAATTTACGTGAAAATCCAAATCGAGAAAAATCACGGGACTGTAACAACAGTCAAATCTCCACTATCACAATAATAAAAACAATCTTCACCAATCGGTGGATACACAGGGCTTCACCCAAAGGTGGATTACAACAATACTCTTCCACACGCACCTAAACCCCAAAGTAGGATTGGAAGGATCTTACCAAAAGAGAGCTAAACTAAAAATAAACCAGAGGATTTGTAGATCTTATTGAGAGGAACACACATGCAAACTTGCACCAATAACTGACTCTGTTTCGTCACCCGATCAAAGCCTTAAAGTGAAACACTTTCTTCTCGCAACACCAAAAAACCTCAGAACTAGTCTTTCTCTTCTCTTCTCTCGCACAAAAATAATGTATGGTTGTCCCAAATTTGCTTGTCAAATTCACAGCCAAAAAGTCACGGCCACATTGCTTTTATAAGCAATCAAACCCAAAAAAACCAAATCCAAGTGGTTTTCCTTTTATTCGGCCAGACCAAACCAAATCCAACATGGATTTTGGTTTTAAACCATGCTGGGCTCAATTTAGGGGAAATATTGGCCCAACACTTCTCTTGGGTTAGAAGAACGAAGAAAAGCTCATGAGAGTGGCTCCATGTAATAAGTACCACTTAATAAACCAAAGAACTAATCCTGAACTCCACCTGGCTTTTGGAAAGAAAACATTATCCTTGTGTGCGCCTCTTTTGTGTGCTTTGGTCACGGTGCCACCGAACGTGAGAGCCCTTCTCCCTTTAAAGCTGGTGCTTGAAGTGCTCAAAGCTAAAGCAGCTAAAGGGAGCCCTTGACACATGGGGCTAAAGAAGAGTGGAAAGAAGTGAACTTGCAACATATGGTCTTTGATCCAGCCTGCCCTTATTCAGTTCAATTGAGATAAGGACATGTGTTGCTATGTTGGATTTAGCTAGACTCTGGATATTTCTGAACTTTGGATTTAATTTCTTTTAGACATTTCTTGATTTTTTTAATCAAGCTAAATTTCAAATGTCACTTAGTTCTTAAGATTACTCAGAATAGTATGACCCCCACTCAACTTCCAAGCTACCTGGTGCTTGCCGAGTTCACCAAAAAAAATAAATATTACTAGCTTCGATTATGAGTTTTGTAGATAATGGAAGTTAGGTCGATCCCACGAGGACAGCTAATTACCAAATTTGTTGTAAAGAAAAAAACTGCCAGTCAAACAAGGTGTCACTCAGGAGAATGAAAACAGTCACTCATGGGAATGGAGGCCAGAGGTGTTCTTCTCCTCTTCCTACTATTGTAGTTGTTTTATTAGCACTGTAATGGTTGAGTTCTTGTTCATTCAGCTCACTTATAACTCTAAGTCAGTTCCCATTTTTCCTAGAGTCATCTTTGCAACCTTAACAACCTATTTTCCAATGATTGATTCAGCTACAAAGTCATTAAGTTCTTAGGCCTTCAAGAATGCTTATGTTAACTAAGTATATTCCTATCTTAGTTAAAACCATAAACTGTTACCTCTATGTCATAAGTTAAAGTTGAAACAATCCAAACCAAGTTTATCCTTCCAGATCTCCCTTAGTTCTAGCATGCATTCAATTTAGTGATCAAGTAAATGAATGTAAAAAAACTTTCAACCATAAAACAAGGAACAAAACCAGTGCTTGACAACTACAACATCAGTTGAGGAGAATAACCCCTGGGAACTGTTTAGCTACTCATACAGATTAATGCTACATCTACCACATCGAAAGACATCATAGAAGTATGCATAATAAACAAAGTTCAAGTTAACAGTCAAGAGATGAGAAGAAAGCTTGTGCAGTTTCTGAGTCATTCCTGGGAGTGAAGGGGTTCACTCGTGGAACTGAAGAAGAAACTGGGTTGCTACTCTTCAACTTGGCTTCCTCACTGAGTTGTTGCTACTTCTTCTTCTTTCTTGCCTTCTACCTGGAGTTTTTCTGGGTGTTTTTAGCAACTGAAAAGGGCAACCAGAGATTGAGAGATGGATCCCCCGATGTGAGAGTGTAGTTCCCTCTTTTATAGTGCCTTGCAACCGGTGTCTTCATCATGAGAACCTCCCCATGCTTGGAGTTGTTTAATCCTCCCAATGTCTTGAGTCTGCAATCCAACTTGGCCGTTCCTTTTCTCTCTTCCAGCAGTGGGCGTTTTGCTCTCATTGATCAGCAGTGGAGGCTGAGACTGCGGCTGGGGGACAAGCATGCCTCTAGGAGGAGGCAAGGTCATTAATGACAAGATGCTTCTTGTCTAAGGGCCTTCTTCTTCGTCCAGCTCAGCAACCTCGCCTCAGCAGCCCGTAAATTGTTCCTTTGGCTTCCAATTTTCAGCAATTATTCAATCCAGTCCCTTCCTAACAATAACATGAAAATGAGCTAAGTAAATTGCACCAATGTTTGGAAATACCCCCAATTGTTCATCAAATACAAAGTTAATTGTGATGCTTTTATGTAACAATTTAGCCATTATCACTACCCTCCCTTCATTTTTACACTTCCATCTGCCCAACCCCCTCACCATCAACATGTGATTATGTCCTATGCCAAAATAGGACAACGATTAGGAAATTACTAACTAAATTTTGATTTATATTCGGATCTAAACAAAGGCTACCATATGCTACAAAGAGCATAGTAGATTCTATGTAAATGATGACCAAGTTGACACTTTTTGTGCACACTTTCCTGAAAGAATTTCTATGAAAATGAAGACCAAGTTAAGATTTTTTGTGCAAACTTTACTGAAGGAGTTAAGCGATGTTTTAGATGTATATTTGTATTATGGGTGATCTGGTGATCGAGATTTCGCATTGGAGATGACAAAGTTGCTGGATTCTTAGCTGTTAAAAAGGCATGAAAGAATACATTCGTTGGCACTACTAAGCGTAAAGAAAAAAATTCAAAAGAAGGTGGATTATACCAAAATTCATATAAAACAACAGAGAAAAAAATGGATATGTTAACTGAACGCGCAACACGTAAAAGACTAGTTTTCGTAAAATGCGTGACTAAATTATATGTATATTTTTTTCACTGATTTTTATTATTTTCTTAATTGTAATTTGTAAAACAAGACAAGATGATTTGAATTTTGTTTAGGTATTATATTTGTATATGTTTAGAGCTCTAATTAAGATTTTAATAACATTATTTTCAAATTATTGTTTGGGATGTGAGTTTATTTTGGCTGGTTTAAAATATTTTTCCAAAAGGAATTTGAAAAAAAAGATTAGATTTTATAATTTTTTTACAAAATAAAAATCACTAGATTTTACAATGTTTTGACAAAATCACGGTATCGGATGAATAATATTTTCTTTAACTTATTAGAATTTGTGTAACTTTAATTTTTTTTTTTAAGAAAAAACATTACAACCCGCACAAAGAGGTAAATACTTGTAAACTTTTTTTTTCTTAAATTTCCTATTTTTTCCTAATAATTCCCAAATTTGTTTACCCATTTACCCCTCCCTTACGAAACTTTTGTTATTGGGCTGCCTTTCTATTTCTTTTCCGCTGTATATCTTTCTCTCGTCCCTCCTCTCCTTTGTCCATCCGAAATCGAAAAACTCCGATTAGACTGCGAAAGATTTTGGCAGATCAAATATGGCGGAAACCGAAGAAGCCGTCCGCCGCCGCACAGCCGTAGCGGATTACCGGAAAAAACTCCTAACACACAAAGAGTTGGAGTCCCGAGTTCGAGGATGTAAGTCGTAAACCTAGTCTTACTTTCAACTGTTAGCTTGCTCTACGCTGTTTATCGAATTGATTTTTTTTCTTTTAAATTTTTTGTGTATGATGACTCTAGGACTGGCTAATACTGATTTATAATGTTGAATTTGTATTTTTTGAAGCTCGATTCTGATTTAGGAGAATGAACAATTCTTCTTTTTTTCGCGTGTATTGTGGCGTGATTCTATGTTTCAGTTTAGGGTGAACTACTGGCAGTTGGTTATGTGGGCTGTATACTGGAAATTCTTGATGATTTTGTCATGTATTGATTTGATTGATCTGCTTACTTAATGTATTGCGAGAATTGCGAGCATGCTTCATCTTTTCTGGTTTAGTTGTTTGAGATCATTTAGTGATTGTCTGATTGTCTGGTGTGTCATGTGGGAAAAGGGTAAAAAAGAGGGGTGGTTCAAGATACCTGGATCAGAGCTGTTCTTTTGGCCGAGGAATGAACAACTCATTTTTTGTTGCATTGGAATCTCCTAAATTCTCCCTTACAAATTGTAGCCACAATGAAAATTTAAGTAGTCATCAATTAAATGAAAGTTTTCTTTCTTTATGAAATCACAAAATGGTAGGTTTGTTCCATCTTCAAATTCGCCGGAAGTACTTCATTTTGCTTTCTAACTGAACTTAGCAGATGTTCTTACCATTCCAAAATGTTGCTACAAGTACTGCAAACATTTTGTTACTGTAGCTCTTCAAATTCTAATCTTTGCATGTGCTTTTGTTAAATAATCTTATTTTCCAGGAAGTGCTCCCAATGAATTTGTATAAATATGAGTTTTTTTAGAGTCAGTATCTACGTTATATGAGAACGCTACGTACACAGGGTAGGTTTAGAAGCTATTGATCCTCTTTGAAGCAAATATTTAGGAGTAACTATATAAAATTGACATCTGTAATAAAGTTCTACATATTCCACAGCTTGTTTGAGAGCCTACATTACATACTTGAGCATGACTATTTGAACTTCCAACTCCTCTCATCAGGTTAGGTTATTTCTTCTCTTCATCTGTTGCATTATCACATACATTATGCTAGTGAGTAAGTGCAGCACTCGTTATCTTAGTTACTTGCCTGAACCTAAAGGGTGGTGATTGTAGTAAAGCTTGCAGACTCAAGTCTATAAAGGGACCTTCTTTCTTGGATCAAATTCAAACATTTATTGCTATAACTAATAGGATTCCCTCAATACAGCTGGATTCGCTTTAAATGTTAAAAGCTTGAAGCTTCCCCTACTCTACTCAATGCCTCATATGTTGTGCACAATTAGATTATAGTAGAACAGATAATAGGAAGCCTACACCTCCTGGACTTGAAGTTATGATCAAATAGATTTGATTGAACCCTTCTTTTAAAACGAGAATAACATGGCTTGAACCCTTGAATCTGAATTCGATTTGCTTGCACTTTAGATTGTGTTGAAATAATGAAATATGATAAGTGCCTTTGTCCCACAGTGGTCATTGTTAACCTCATTGACCAACAATTCCCATGTACTATTACCCTTAATGCCATTGCCAATTGGTTTTGAGGAGGAACCACCCATGGGATTTTATGGGCCTTCAAGGGCTCGCACCTTTATCATGCAAAACCTTTGACCTGCCAAAAATGGCTTGAATTTGTCGTATAAACTCCTAAATCTTAGAGTAGTTTTACGAGGCAGTGTTGCATTGGAATTGATCTGCTGAAATCATCCGCCAAATTATAGCTACTTCAGGAGTAAATGGCTTATATTTACCTCTTAATCTTTCACACTTTGGATTGCGTAATATTTCATTTTAGTTTTACATCAATTACAGTTCTTCAGGCGTTTGAAATGATCCTGTCGTGGTTAGAAATGATTGTGGTTTAGGCTTTTCACTATCTAATAACTCTTATTAATTCTCTTCAAAGCAGGGTTTTGTACAACTATATATGAACATCGTAACAGTTGAGGGTACCACAAGTTTGAGTACTTTGATGGAACAAAGAAGTTTGAAAGAAAGTGTGCGTGAAAATTAGAAAAACATGTTCAAGTGGTTAGGACCAAAGTGGTTTGGTTTGAAGATAATGTTAGTTGTACCAATTGATGAGAAAAAGAGAGAAAAATTGTTATAAGACTCTTAGCTGCGCCAATAGATACTAGGATGAGTGGAAACTGTTGAATCAGTAACTTATTAACTGTATAAGACTTAAAGAGTTAGAAAGAAACTATAGGAAAAGATATGGTTTACCTTTACTTGAGAGCATCAATATTGAGATAGTTCAATAGTGACTTGAAATCCATGTCATGGACTATTTAGATGGTACAATACTTGAGAGCATCTACTTTAGTAGTGTGTGCCAATGTTGAAAATACTTGTGCTATTTTCAGCATTCATAATAAAGGCCTATGTGAATACTTTGGCCTCATTGGTTGAAATACCCCCCTTTCTATGTCTTGGCTATCATTTGCCATTAGATTCTCTCCTTATTTCATTAGTTATGCTACTTCAGAGAAAACATAATGATTTTATTCGTTGCCATGTGCCTGCTGCATAGAATTCATGGCTTCTTCTTGGCCTATGTACCCGTTGTGTAAAATTGGGTTTCTTCTTTTGGACCTTAAATAGGTACATTTTACTGTTAGATTTTGATTTCGAAAAGAGACTTCTCATGTCAAACTTTTGCAGCTTAGCAATGAATTATTTTTAGTTTGTCTTGGCTTTTGCTTGTGATTTCAGTGTGTACAATTGATTTACATTATTTCTCTTTATTGGCATTCTGAACCATTGATACTCTCTTTTCAATTCAGTTTATTGTACATTCGTGGTTATCCTATAACATCTGTAGATGGTGTAAGTATTTACTTTTTGCATACTGATGAATATATGACTAACCAATAAATTACTGAACCACAGTAAGGGAGAACTTGCGTGCTACAAAAAAGGAATATGCAAAAACAGAAGATGATTTAAAGTCACTCCAGAGTGTTGGGCAGATCATAGGCGAGGTTCTCAGACCACTGGACAATGAACGCTGTAACTACCTCTTCCGTCAATTTCATTATTACATTTGGCGTGTTAATGCTGGTGTTTTGCTCCATGTTTCACCTTTTCTCTTCTCTCTTTATCAGTACTTTCAAGTATAAAATGTTGTGAATTAGAAGCTTTTTGAGAGAGATGTCAATGATTGATAATCAGTATTATTAATGGAAGTTTAATGGTTTGTATGAGCCGTTTGATCTATAGCAGTCGAATTTTTATTTATTTATTTATTTATTTTTTATGTTTGTTCATTTCATCAATAGTTTTGGCTTTGGTCCAGTCGAATTAGTTGACAATATAAGTGAACTTGTTGTGTTGGTTTTTCAGTGATTGTTAAAGCTAGTAGTGGCCCTAGATATGTGGTGGGTTGTCGCAATAAAGTGGACAAAGAAAAACTAACAGCAGGCACAAGAGTGGTACTTGATATGACAACACTCACTATCATGCGAGCACTACCCCGTGAAGTAAGTAAAATTCTTGCAATGTGTGTTGGACATAATTTATGCGGAACAGAAAAGATATATGCTTAGGGTTGATCATTGATTGTATAACAGGTTGATCCGGTTGTCTATAACATGCTTCATGAGGATCCTGGGAATGTTAGCTACTCTGCTGTCGGTGGGCTTTCAGATCAGATACGGGAATTGAGAGAATCTATAGAACTACCTTTGATGAACCCTGAACTCTTTCTCAGAGTTGGCATTAAACCTCCCAAGGTAAAGCTTTCCAGTCAGTTTCATCTTTTTTACGTAGTATAAATTTGTACATTATGAATTTGCTTCTAACTTTTGAACTTTTTTCGAATAGGGTGTTCTCCTGTATGGACCTCCTGGAACTGGAAAGACGCTGCTGGCCAGGGCAATTGCTAGTAACATTGACGCCAATTTCTTGAAGGTATTTTGAGCTCATCTGGTGATTGTGATGTGAAACAATTATTAAGCTCTATTAATGTTCATATTGTAACAGGTTGTTTCCAGTGCAATTATTGACAAATACATCGGTGAGAGTGCAAGATTGATCAGGAGATGTTTGGATATGCTCGTGATCACCAAGTAAATCCTCAAACCGCTCAGATTTTTTAGATTTGAGTCTTTTTCAATGCATAAATTTACGTTTAGTTCTAATGTGAACTAGTGATGTCTGGTCGCGCAATGCGCGACCCTGGCCCAGTTTATCTGTAGATTTTAGAAATGTTTATATTTGAAAAAAAATAAAATTTTGTATTTGGAGCGATATATTTTAGAAATGTTTGAAGGATTTAGAAATGTTTATAAGTGTGATCATAGAAATATTTGTATTTCGCAAAAAAAAAAAAATTGTATTTCGCCATGTATGTTTTAGAAATGTTTTATAAGTGTTACTTATTAAATATAAATAGCTTAATCGAATATATGTGTTGAAGTAAATGTTAGATAAAATATAAAAGCATCCTAATAAATTTAAATATTAGTAAGATGATTTATTGACGTTCTCCATTGGTCGTGCCAAATCAATACTTAGTTTTGGAGATTTTTAATAGCTTTGGAATAAGCTTCATCCGAAGGATATACGCTTAAAACAAAATTGATACTTTGTAACAAAAAACCTAATTGATCAATTCAATTTAAAAAACCACTCTAGTTGAATGAAATATAAAGAAAAAATTAAAAAAAAACGTGTCACGTAAAGTGCAAAGGGAGATTTAGTAATTTAGTTATAGTTAGACAAATGGGCAATTTAGTATTTTCTACATGCCACATGGCAATCATATGAGGTGTTTGAAAGGGAGGTTTTTGTTTCTAATATAGTAGGATATCTCCTTATCTGGTTTATGTTCTTACAGTCTGTCTTTCTGTTCAGCCTTGCATTATATTTATGGATGAGATTGATGCTATTGGTGGGCGTCGTTTTAGCGAGGGGACTAGTGCTGATCGGGAAATTCAAAGAACACTTATGGAATTGCTTAACCAGTTGGATGGTTTTGACCAGCTTGGAAAGGTTCTCGCAGAATCTTCAGTTATGTGCATCACAAATATTCTAGCTACTTAAAATCTAACGTTCTCTTATGGTTTTCCTTACAGGTCAAGATGATTATGGCAACAAACAGACCTGATGTTTTGGACCCTGCTCTTCTTCGACCTGGTCGACTGGACAGGAAAATAGAGATACCACTGCCTAATGAACAGTCGAGGTTGGAAATTTTGAAGATACATGCTGCCGGTATTGCTAAACACGGAGAAATTGATTATGAAGCTGTTGTGAAACTTGCTGAGGTATAAGATCATAGCGGTAATCTTTTGTTTTAGTCTTGTGAGATTTTTGTGGATGAAGCTTATGGACTTGCTGTTTTTGTAGGGTTTTAACGGAGCTGATCTCCGGAATATTTGCACTGAAGCTGGAATGTCAGCAATTCGTGCGGAGCGTGATTATGTCATACATGAAGATTTCATGAAGGTAAATTTTCCCTGTCTATGAAGCGGCTTTTGTATTGATTTGATGAATGCATCTGCATTATTATGTCTTGTAAACGTGCAATTAGGTTCATTTATACTTTTGTGATAATTGTTCAACTTTTCCGTTGCTCTAGGCTGTTAGGAAACTGAATGAAGCGAAGAAACTTGAATCAAGTGCACATTACAATGCTGACTTTGGGAAAGAATGATTGTGAGTGGCAACTTTTGGGTGTATGGACTGGAAGATCTCAACCTTGGCAGCTTTGTTACTTCTTTGGTTGATTTGATTGGTGGATATCAATTGTATGATGTGACTTTTATAATCAACCGTCACTGGGACTTTGAAGACATTTGCACACCTATAAATTTAAGTTGCCAAGTATCTTTGAACATTTATGATCACTATTTGAGTTCAATTACAATATTTGCATTGTAATTTTGGGTAGTATGTGGTTAAATCAGCGGTGCATTAAAAACTTTTAGGTTAAAAACAAGATAGATACACTTACCCACTAGTAATCTTTTTCTCAAAACACATTCCCATGGATTAATTACTGTAGGCTGTTTCTGACGGATGTGGGGGAAAAAAAACAAAAGAAAAGAGGATTTTTTTATTTTTTATTTTATTATTTTTTTTTTAAGAGGATCCTCTTTACGGTTTTACCAACTAGTTTTCGTTTTTATGATTGTATGGATTGCAACCTATCTGAATATCCCAATCTACTTGATATTCAGTTCTTCTACAAAGCAGTATAATGCAAAATGACGTAAATTTTCCGCCAGATGTAACTTTTCGATGTTAATTTCCAAGATAATCAATTTACCTTAGCAACTCAAAATCTGGTCATGTATTCTATATAATTTTCTGAATAATCCAATTTTTTTTAATGTAAATCGTATGTTATGGTAATTGATACTCCTGATTTATTTTTATTTTTATTTTTTACCTTCAGATTCTTTCAATTCATGTTGCCGACGAATTTCAAACTATATATCTCACAATAGAAAAGATTGTCTAAGTGAACTAGAACTAAATTGAAGGACCAAAATGCACATCCCCGAAGAAAAACTTGTGAAATACGGCAAAATTACTCTCTTTTTTCCCCCCCACCGAAAGCGGCGCTGTTTGAGATCCTTAGGCAAAAGCAGTCGGTCAGTATATCTGGTACAAATGATCGGAATCCCTTTTGACCAAACGGCTGAATTGAAGGAAAAACTATTAAGTCCCAAAAATATTAAATTGGCGAATAAGGAATTGGTTCAGTGGTAACACTACATTTGTTCCAAAAGGAGGTCATGAGTTTAATTCTCCACTCTAACAAAAAGTGAGAAGTTAGCTCTCATCTTATCTATGGACACTTCTAGAAACTTGTTATTAATATCCCACTAATAAACTCCGAATTTCGCACTTGAGCTTGTCACCCCGGACATGTCTAGGGTGGTTTACCTCCCACTGTGGTTTGTAGGCTATTGCAGTGGGCGTGGGTTTACCCATCTCTGGTCGGGTTCCGGGCGTTATCAAAAAAAAAAAAAAGAAAAATTACATTGACAAAAAAAGTATATGATATTCTCTCTGTTTTAAAATTATTGTCGAGTTTAAGATTGTATTAATAAAAATTTAAATTAGATAATAATTTTGAGAAAAAAAATGCTTTTTTTAGGATGAAAAGAATAGGAGATTATCCAAGTAAACAATCATGGCATTGATTGAGGGGGATTCAAAGCCTTATGGAAAGCCATACCCAATCAATTATCGTAGTAAACTTCCCTTCCCACGTGCTATTCATCATCTATCTCCTTAAGTCATCATGTGCCATGCCCACCAAGTAAAGTTTCGTAATCTGCAAATCAATTCCATGAAACTGACCAAGGTCGATTGAGTAGTGATGCAATTAATGTGGGAAAATGATTGAGATAGAGAAATTTGAAGAAGTATGAAATTTTCTTGAGATAAAACGATATTATTTTTATTCATCAACAAAATATTATGTCATATTTTTTTTTTCTCAAAATAGTTGGCGTTAACTAGAAATTTGAAGTGTATACACGATCATATTAAACTATGTTGTTTCAAGAAATATTTCACGACGAACTTTAAATTTTAATTACAATCTCTAACTTTTATCATCACACACGTATGATCATCACGCAATAACTTGTACTCCCTCCGTTTCATAATTATTGTCCAGTTTTACTAAAATGAAAGATTGTATTTTTGGTCAAACTTAACTATATTGTACCTTAAACAACCGGATATACCCCTACATAAGTAATTGTTTAACCACTAAGATTTTATGGATAATGTTTTTTACTAAGGACAAATGTGTAACTTGATCTATAAAAAGTCAAATTGGACAATAATTTTGGGACAAAATTTTTTGGGCGAAGTGGACAATAATTATGAGACGGAGGGAGTATAAGAAAATGTCATTTCTACGCGTACGAAAAAGATCATTAGATTCTTAATTTATTTCTATTCTCTATGTAAATATGCCATATGGTTCACTAAGCTCTCTAGCTGAACCTATTTTTCTCATCATTTTAATTTCACAAAAAATGAACACTCTGCTTAAATTAGTGAGTTTATTTCTGTTTCTCATAATAATAACCCATCAAAAAAAATGTAGTTAGAAAAAATTATTTTTACATTATTCCAAAATTTTATACTATGCCATTTGACTCAGGAAAATAATCTTATGTTAAAAAGAAAATAATTTTGTTAAAAGTTATAAAATTTTGAAATTGGTCTTATGAGATTTTTCATCTGAAAAGTCATATAAAATTTTTAAAGAGACATGATATTCTATTCAATTTTTAGTTTGAAAGATTAATCTATCCAATTTATAGGTTGTAATTTTTTAAATTAGACTACTTTCTTAGGACGGAATGATTGAAAAATTTTAATTTATATTATTATAATCCCTCTGTCATATTAGATAGTCTATCTATGAGAACTCTATTAAATAGTATGATTATTAATTGATAATGTGAATTATTCTTTATAAACAGAGTGACCTCTTGAAATAAATATTGTACCACCACATAGTGCGAGTTAGCAGTGCGTTGGAGTTGAAACTTGCGTGTAATAACAAGTCATCAAATAATAAATGCACGCACACACACACACACACACACTCTTATAGATTAATTCATTATCTCAAATTCTCAAGTCTATATAATCGTGTGCATGAATGACAAAAAAGGTTGAGTTGGTATATTCATCATCCCAAATTTAATGAATTTTTCGCTATACATTTGAGGGCTCCATATGATCTCAGTGAGCAACTACTTCTTCCTCAATCTGCGCCATCATTTGATCAAACTCATCTTCTATTCTTAGTACTTCAGTTAATTAAAGAAAAAAAGTAGGTCAAATTCAAAGGGCAAAGAACAGGCCAAAAGAAGAAGAAGAAGAAGAAAATGGACAAGTATGAAGTGGTGAAGGATCTTGGAGCTGGGAATTTTGGGGTGGCAAGGCTTATGAGGAACAAGCAAACCAAAGAATTGGTCGCCATGAAATACATCGAGCGTGGTCGCAAGGTTCTTTTTTTTTTTTTTGTTTTGGGGAAAAAAATTATTATCCTTTTTTTTTCCCCATAATTTGGAGAAGATGATCTCATTTTTAATTCTTTGTTATGATGATGATTACTATGTTTTTTTTTTTTTTTCCTTTTTTGGGTTGGCAGATTGATGAAAATGTTGCAAGAGAAATCATTAATCACAGATCTCTTCTACACCCAAACATTATTAGATTCAAAGAGGTATGTCGATATACACTTTCTTCTCATTTGTGTGAATAATTATTAGGCCACTGGAAAAATTCTGTAATGCCGTCACCTCAATTACTGATCCAGAAGTTAAAATAAGATTAGAAACTGTGAACGGAACCATTCAAACACGAGACTAGTAGTTTTATGTCATTTCGGCATTTATGGTTTCTTTTGCAGGTAATATTGACTCCAACGCATCTGGGAATAGTGATGGAGTATGCAGCAGGAGGGGAACTCTTTGATCGAATCTGCCAAGCTGGTAGATTTAGTGAAGATGAGGTTTGTGATTATGATGTATTTTCCCATAAATTAATCACTAGACCTTCAAACTATTAATTTAATTTACCATCAATTAATTAATCTCAAGGACAAAAGGTTCACGTTTGACTATATAAATTGTGATTTTTTTTTTCTCTCTATGCGTTTTAAAATAAGAATTCTATTTCTGAAACAAATCTTGTAAAATAGTATATAAGATGACAAAGGTATGTAAGTTGGTTTTATTTGTGTATCCTCCTATCCTAATTATGAGACATTAATGTTAATTTGTGCTTTACAATTACGACCAGAAAAATGTAGTTTTTATAATTTTTATTTTTTATAGCTAATACAAAATCTTGTCGACTCTAACTTTTGAGATTTATAATTCTTTTTACACTGACGTCAGAATTAATACTTTTTATTCAGTTGTCTGTATTCATAGTTTACTTAAAACTTATAAAATCTGCTTCTAATAATCATCTTTGATATCAGAGACCTTTCTAAATTTCTAATTGTCCAACTTTTAAATGTAAAAATCAGGCAAGGTATTTCTTTCAGCAGTTGATATCCGGAGTCTGCTACTGCCATACCATGGTACGTAATTTGAGTTCAGTAGTTTATTTACTCATTTTCTTCTTTTGTTTTAAAATAATTGTCCTATTTTTTTTTTTGGGTTATTTTAGCGCACTAATAGCACAGTAATTTTGTTATGCATATACTCCAGTATTATTTGTTACTTCTAGCTAAAAATAAATGGAGAATATTTTATTTATGGGCTAATTAATTTTTGCATTGGAATGTACAGCAAATCTGCCATAGGGATTTGAAACTGGAAAATACACTCCTAGATTCGAGTCCAGCTCCCCGTCTCAAAATTTGCGATTTCGGTTACTCCAAGGTTCGTACCCATTTTTCAAGAAAATTTAATTAAGTTTCCCGCAATTTTAGATCAAACATTATTAAAAAAAAAAATAGTTTACTCCCTCTATTCCAAAATAAATGTCGTCACACTTTACACATAGTTTAAGAAACTCTTAAATAGGGTAATAAAATTACTTGAATATCCTCAACCAATCCCATTATAAAATTGTCCACCAATAGCATCAACTCTTTTGAGAGTAATTTTAGAAACTTTTGACAAAAAGTGTATTGAAATGTGAGAACGACACTTATTTTAGAAATTTTCTATTTTGCTAAAACGACACTTATTTTGGAATGGAGGGAGTACATCATACAAGAATCATTTCATGCAGAATGAAAAATGATTTTTTTTTATTAAAGATTAATATAGATAGGAAGTGTGATAAAGAAGCTTTAAAGATCCCATTTAACAAGTCGACAAATTAATATAACTAGTACTAATCACACGAGGAGAAATTCGTTTAACTATGTGCATCATCATCTACAAATGAATTATTAAAAAAACACACTACGTGCGTCATATTTTCTCAATTGTTAGCCATTGATGAGTAACTATATTCGATCTCTTGTTAATAAAAAATGTTACGGAACATGTATTATGAATATCAAACTGTCAATTGATGTAATTGCAGATTTATGTGAATTCCAAAACTAAGGAAGTTCGCTATTGGTTTTCCCAGCTAACTTTCTCGTATGAATCAGAGCTGAATTTGTATTCTAGAAATTTGATCATTTCCTTTTTCTTTCCCACATAATTTGTAATTATCGCAGTCGTCGGTGTTACACTCCCGACCCAAATCTACGGTGGGAACTCCGGCTTATATTGCACCGGAGGTTCTCTCACGTCGTGAATATGATGGCAAGGTACGTAAGAATATCACTAAATAAATCAATATGCAATATTACAATAATAATAATTGACGCATCTCAACTGAATTTTTATTTTGTTATTATTTTCTAGATGAGGTATCATCCAGTCACTAATCCGCAGCTTAAGTTTTAAAGGACCCAACTTTAGGGTCAGAAAAAATTATTACCATATGCTAGATAAACAAAATGTATGAGAAATTGCAACAATTAAAACTAAGCTCTGAATTTATGTTATACTCTTAGCTCCACTCTCCTTTAAATTGGTAGAAAATAATAACAAAATAAGACTATGAGAAATTGCAACATTTTGTTTTCCTGAAATTGCAACAATATTTTTTTTTGCTGTATTTATATTTTTATCATGAAAATCCGAAAAACAAAATAACCAATATTTTCAAAATGGATGGAAAAACAGATGGCAGATGTTTGGTCATGTGGGGTGACTCTTTATGTGATGTTGGTGGGAGCATACCCTTTTGAAGATCCTGATGATCCTAAGAATTTCAGGAAAACAATTGCTGTAAGTTTTTTTTTTCGTTTTTCTTTTTATCTATCTGTCCCAGAATTCTTTTATTTATTTATTATATTAAAGCAGCACACAAATAAGACTATTATCTTTGGGATTTGCTTACCACTTTTCAAGAGTAATATTAATTTTAATTGTTCTCATCTAACTAAATTAATCTTCTCCATGCTGCAGAAAATAATGGCAGTTCAATACAAAATTCCAGACTATGTACATATATCTCAAGATTGCAGAAACCTTCTTTCTCGTATTTTCACTACAACTCCAGCTAGGGTAAGTACACTAATCTAAATGCATGAATGCTTGGCTGCTTTTCTTTCTCTTTTTTGCTTTATTATTTCAAAATGTTTTACTACTTTTTTAGCCAACAAAAACTTATTTAGTGGTACAAGGAATATGACTCATTTTTAGAATCGAAAAAATATTGAACATGAACACAAATGGTTGGAGTTTTGACACAAAATGGTTGATCAACTAGTAAAGATAACATGTGGCTTTTTTTTATGCAGAGGATCTCAATAAAAGAGATTAAAAGCCATCCATGGTTCTTGAAAAACTTACCAAGGGAACTTACAGAAGCTGCACAAAGTATATATTACCAAAAAAACAACCCAAACTTCTCACTCCAAAGTATTGAAGAAATAATGCAAATTGTTGGAGAAGCAAGAAATCTTCCGCCTCCGTCTTCAAAACCCGTCGGGGGGTTTGGCTGGGGAACAGAGGATGATGAAGAAGTACTAGAAGAGGAACTGGCAGAAGAAGACGAAGATGAATATGAGAAGCACGTTAGGACGGTCCATGAAAGCGGAGAATTTCATATCAATGTTTGATATACTTCATTTGACAAATAGATTACTTGTGTTAATTAAGTTCTTTCTGAATGTTTGATATTGTAAGTTATGTAATGTTATATTGGGTTGGGTTGACTTATGGATCATGAAATTTATTAATTTCATAATATTAAGAGAAGGAGAAGGTTTTTTTTTTTTTTTTAAAAAAGGGAACCGAGTCTTCCTAGCCTAGTGGCAAGGCTTCTCATCTGAGTTGGGGAGAGAAAAAGGCAAAAAAAGAAAGCAAGAACCAAAACCTCAATTAGAAGACTCAAAAAACAGCAAAAAGAAGGATCACAAAGAATCAATCTTCTCTCATGATATGATTTAATGAACCACATAAGAAGAAAAAGAACAAAACAAAAATGTCAAAAAGTGTCCAAACGATAATCTTTTTTTTTTCTTTTTAGCAAAACAGGCAGCGCCTGACGGGTGTAAGACCCATTTTATTAATCTGGAATTAAAGAAAAGAAAGTGGTAGTGCATAAAACATACCACATTTTATAACGCGACTAAAAAATTCATAAAAAACAATAACTAACAATAATTATTTTTTTCCGAGCGGTTGTTCTCGGATTTCCGTTGGTACTAGGCTTTTTTCGTCGCTTACGAGCCAAGATAAAAATAAAGTTCTTCGCCCTTTGCAACTTAAGCAATAATTTTTTAAAAAATTCTCTATGTTTTCTATCATACGTTGCTTTTTCGATCATATGTGTCCAAATGATAATCTTTCCTTTTAGAACAGTCAGTAATGTTCTCTTTCATACATAACAGATGATTTGACCTGATACAACACTATACAAATCAATGCATTTATAAGAACTGCAAATCTACATGGATTCCAAAAAGTTGATCGGTAAGGTCTGTCCTCAGCTTGAACATTCGATAAGTGAAATGTTGATGCATGTACCTCCAATCTCAAAAGTGCATTAATCTCAGAGGTGTGATATTTTTTTTACCTTGGTCCTAAACCCTCTTAGGAATACAAAAAAGAGGACGAGGAGGAAAAGAAAAAAAAAATACCACCAAATGATAAATACTTGAATAATAGATACAGGGGCTTTAGTTTAGAGGTATAATATTCGACGTTCATGGCACAGAGGGACGGAGTCCAGCTTACTGACAAAAGATCCTTTTTTTCTTCTGAAATCAATGAGACTTCGATGTGATCCAACTTTGAGGACTTCCGGATCTGGATTCATGCTCTTCTTCTGATTCCTTTGGTTCTAGTTCATTGCTCAAATAAACATAAGTTATTGTATTGAGTACGTATCTGGACTTATTGGAACAAAGGCAACATTCCCCATTGATGCAAAAAGCCTTCTCCAGTGGTCAGTTCAAGAACTAGAAGAACAGGTATCACACCAACATTGCTGCTCTTCCGTTCAATGTTTCAGCACTTTTAGTCCAACCCCATTTCCCCACTATTACAGGTGGTGGCATTTCTCTTCGTTGTGAATCGTATGTTGCCAATAGCTCTTCTATACTGCCAAGAGGGACTAACGACTGCAAAAAAGAAAAAAGATCAAGTACCAATACAGATTAAATGAACTCAAAAATCTCATAATGAAGAAGCTTCAACCAATAATATATATGTTGAATGTTAGCATATGTCAGCATATGTGAAAATTTAAATAAATTGTGAACGATTAATTAAATGTATGAATGCTTGGCTGCTCTTCTTTCCCTTTTTGATTTATTATTTCAAAATGCTTTGCTACTTTTCTAATTTCTAGCCAACAAAAACTTATTTATTGAATTATGCCCCTTTGCTTCACCAATTTAAAGCTGAAATGGAAACTCGGCCAAGTATTTTTCGTTTTCAGAAAATGTGAACGAGAAGGGGAACTTTTCTGAACATTTTCGAAGCCAAATGGGAAGGCCAGATTGATGAAACTGGAATGTTCGGATTTTCTTTGAAGCTCCGGCGATTAAAAGCATGCCTAAAAGAATGGAAAAAGGCGGAATTTGGCGATGTTTTTCAAAATCTAAAAAACACTGAAGAAGTTGTTAGAGTCAAAGAGCTAGAATATGATCAAACTGGTTCTGATGAGGCAAAAATAGAGATGAATCGGGCTCAAGCATTCTATTTACTCAAGATACGCAAGCAGCAGGATTTCATCCAACAAAAAACGAAGCTAAAATGGTTAAGGGAGGGAGATGCAAATCCAAAATATTTTCACGCCTCACTGTCGGAAAAGAAAGCGCGCCTTGGAACTCATAAAATCAGAGATCACGATGGTTCTTGGCTTTCAAACATAAACGACATTGAGCATGAAGCAGTATTTTTCTTTCAAAATTTGCTAAGCGATGATGCAGCTAAATCGCACGATGAAGCAAGCAGAAAGCAGTTAGACAATATTCCTTCACTTTTGGATGTTGCAGATAATGAGTTTTTAACGCAACAACTAACCCTTGAACAGGTTAAATAAGCGATGTATAGTCTTGATCCCGCAAGTACTCCGGGAATTGATGGGTTTGGTGGTGAATTTTATAGGCATTGTTGGACAATCATTAATCAAGACTTAATGGTGGCTTGCAAGGCATTCATGAAGGGTGTCCCTATCCCTAGGGCAATCGCCAGTGCTATTATTACTTTGCTCCCAAAGAAAGCAACGGCAACATCTTTCGCGGACTTTCGCCCAATAAGTTTGTGTAACTTCGTAAATATGGTGTTTACAAAGATACTAACGGAGAGAGTGAAGAAGGTACTTCCTAAATTAATATCGGAGAAGTAATTAGTCTTCTTGGAAGGTCGAGACATAATGGATAATATTCTTATGACTCAAGATCGTATTCAATTTCTTGACCACAAAGAAAATGGGGGAAACCTAATCTTGAAAGTGGATATGATGAAAGTGTTTGATCAAGCTTTATGAAGCTTTTTGAAACAGATTCTATTGAAGTTCGGCTTTCGTCAAAGTTTCGTCAATTTGATTATGATGAATTTAACACGAAGTTAGTTCTCCTCAACGGAATTCTAGTTGGTTTTTTTCACGCTTCTCGTGGAATTAAACAAGACGATCCTCTTTCGCCTTATCTTTTTATTTTGTTATCGGAAGCATTCACTCGAAACCTAAAAATGCTCAAGGAAGTTGGTCAGTTAGCATCATATGAGTGCCAGCTAGGGCAATTGTGCCATCTCATTTGTATTTTGTGGATGACCTAATCATTTCTACGAGAGGGCTATAAAATTCTATGTAGCAGTTAATGAGTTTTTTCCAGGATTACGAAGGTTCTACATGGCAAAAAATAAATAAGCAAAAGAGTACTTTCTTTATCTCAGATAAAAGCTCCATGAAACGTGTTTCTTTAATCCGGAATACACTACAAATGCAAAGAGGTACATTCTCCTTCACGTATTAGGGATGCAAGCTGTCCAAGGAAAGGAAAAAAGTGGACTATTTCCAACACTTGCTTGATGCTTTTGACGCTAAATTACTGAATTGGAAGAATCACTTCTTGTAGCAAAGGTGGACGTTTGTTGCTGATTAAACATGTTCTATCGGCGATCCCCCTTCACACAATAGCAGCCATAATCCCCCCAAAAACAATTATTGAAAGTCTTGAGCGGAAATATCGGAATTTCCTTTGGGGGAATCTGATCAAGGACAAAAACGTCATTGGCGAGCTTGGCGCAAGCTGACTTATCCAGTACAAGAGAATGGTTTAGGTATTCGGAATTTAGAATATATAATTCAAGCTTTCTCCATGAAGCTCTGGTGAAAACTAAAGTCGAAGAAAGGAATTTGGTCCAGGTTTGTAGTTCGTTGTCTACTACATCCAAAGAGAAAACAAGCTGGTTGCGTGTGGTCAAGGTTGATCAGCTAGCGGACTCGCAAAGTAAAATTACAATTTCTGATGGTTCATCTTCTTTCTGGAGCGATCCATGACTGGACTTAGGGATACTTCGGAACAATCCAGGCGATCCACCTGCTTTAGACTTAACAGTAAAGGACTTTTATAGGTCAAAAGATTTTTTCTTGCAGTTTTTTTTCTGGTTTGCTAGATCAGAGACAAACAGACCAGCTGCAGAAGTTGGAGTTGTGTTTCGAGGACAAGCAGGATTCAATGGTGTGGAAGCCAAAAACGATGGGAAATTTCTCAATTGCCTCTGCCTATGAGGCAGTTTGACAACGCAGAGAAGAATTTCTTCCTTTAAAAGTTTTTTGGCATAATTTAATTCCGGTTAAGTTTCTTTTTTTACATAGAAGTTATTTAATAACTTATTGCTTTTTCTCGAAATTTTACGGAAGTTTGGACTTGCCATGAGCCCTTCGAGATGTCTATTTTGTCATGCCGAGGAAGATCGCATTGAACACTCTTTTTATGTTTGTCAAGAAATAATTCTCGTTTGGAATCATTTTGCTACTCTTTTTGGAATTATGATGCCTAATAATACAGGATGGTGGACAAGCTTGCAAACTTGGCAATCAATTGGAAGTTTTACTTCAGTAAAAAAAAATCAATTATGATGGTCATACTAATCTTCATCTTGTGAGAAATATGGAAGTTGAGGAATAAAGTTGTTTATAATGGTATGCATTTCTCTTTGAATTTTTTGATTAAAGAAATCATGACTAATATTTCGAATATGTTGAATGTTCATGTTTTAAAGGCTAAGAAATTAGAGGAGCAAAAAGAGATAGAAAATCTTTTTAAAGTGAAGGTTCTTGGGTCGCAAAATAAAAAGATCACGGTATTGAGTTGAAAGCCTCCAGATCCTGGGGAAGTAGTTTTAAACACGGACGAGTCTGCCTTAGGACAACCAGGAGAGGCGGGATGGGGATTTGTCATCCGAGACGAAAATGACTCATTTAAATTTGCAGAGTGCGGATACATGAGAAATGCTACAAGTTTTGAAGCCAAAATAGCAGCTATCTATAATGGACTAAAAGCCTGTGAAGAGCGAGGGCTAAATCGAGTGACAGTTTAAACTGACAACAAAAATAATGTTTCATTGCTACAAAAGGGCAAAGAATTTCCATGGAGGCAATACATGTACTTTAAAAGTATACAACAAAAGCTGCTCAACATGAACTCCAAAATTGTTCATATTTTCCGAGAGGTTAATAGCGTGGCAGATGAGCTTGCTAGAACAACATCATCAGGGATTACAATGCAATATCACTTACAGGAATTTCTTCCAACATCATTGCGACGTAAGATCTATTTAGATCGGAGATGTTTTCCTTACTTGCGTGTTAAATAGTTTTTAAAATTTGTAGCATAAGATAAATAGTGATGTCATGGGATCTTTGTTTTAAGATCTTTGTAAGACATTTTCTTACTTTAGGAAATTATTATAAAATTTAAAGAACTGTCAGGGGATAAATATTCATCTTTGTAAGACAGTTCATATCTATAGTCTTGTTAGAGAACTATCATGGAGTTTTTAGACAAACCATCTGTAAGACGGTTTCTTTTGAATTGGGTAAGTCTTAAGCACTGCCTTTTATAACTCTATTTTTTAATTAATAAAATTAGAGATGCCCGCCAGGTGTCGTCCGGGTTCTCTTAAAAAAATATAGATAAATAAAATTATTTATTGGTACAAAGAATATGACTCATTTTTAGAATCGAAAAAATCTTAAAAATTAACACAAATGGTTGATTGATTAGTATGAAGATAAAATGTGATGTTTAAGATATTGATCATTTGTAACTACGCATTATTATGTTGAGGATCTCAATAAAAGAAATTAAAAACCATCCATAATTCTTGAACAACTTACCAAGGGAACTTACAGAAGCTACACAAAGGTTATATTACCCAAAAAATAACCCAAACTTCTCACCCTAAAGCATTAAAGAAATAATGCAAATTGTTGGAGAAGTAAGAAATCTTTCACCTCTGTCATCATAAACCGTCGGAGGGTTTGGCTGGGGAATAGAGGATGATGAAGAAGTACTAGAAGATGACGTGGCAGGAGAATATGAAGATGAATATGAGAAGCACGTTAGGATAGTCTATGAAAGCGGAGAATTTCATATCAATGTTTGATATACTTTATTTGACAGATAGATTATCTGTGCTAATTAAGTTCATTCTGAATGTTAGATATTGTAATTCTTGACTGTAATGTTATATTGGCTTGGGTTGGCTGATTGATTATGAATTTTGCTGATTTCATAATATTAACAGAAGAAGAAGGTTAAAAAAAAAAGAAAAAGAAAAGGAAGTGAGTCGTTCTAAGCTAGTTGTAAGGCTGCCCACAATGAGTCTCATCTGAGTGGGGGAGAGAAAAAGGCAAAAAAAAGAAAGCAAGAACCAAAACCTCAATTTGAAGACTTTAGAAACAGCAAAAACGCAAGAACCAAAACCTCAATTTGGAGACTTTAGAAATAACAAAAGAAAAGGATCACAAAGAATCAATCTTTCTCATGATTTAATGAACCACACAATAAGAAAAATAACAAAACAAAAAAGTCCAAAAATGTCCAAATGATTATCTTTCCTTTTAGGACAGTCAGTAATATTCTCTTTCATACATAACAGATGATTCGAACTGCTACAACACTATACAGATTAATGCAATTTGTAAGGACTTCAAGTCTACATGGATTCCAAAAAGTCGATCGATAAAGTCTGTCCTCAATGCAATTTGTAAGGACTTCAAGTCTACATGGATTCCAAAAAGTCGATCGATAAAGTCTGTCCTCAGCTTCAACATTCGATAAGTGAAATGTTGATACATGTACTTGCAATCTCAAAAGTGCATTGATCTCAGAAGTGTGATATTTTTTTACCTTGGTCCTAAACCCTCTTAGGAATACAAAAAAGAGGACGAAGAGGAAAAGAAAAAAAATACCACCAAAAGATAAATACTTGAATAATAGATACATGGGCTTTAGTTTAGAGGTATAACATTTGAGGTGCATGGTAGAGAGGGACACAGTCCGGCTTACTAACAAAAGATCCTTTTTTTCTTCTCAAATAAGTGAGAATTCGGTGATATCCAACTTTCAGGACTTCCAAACTCTCGATTCATGCTCTTCTTCTGATTCTTTTTTCTAGTTCACTGCTCAAGTAAACGTAAACTATTGCATTGAGTATGTATCTGGACGGGGAGAGATTTGATTGAGTCATTGAAACAATGGCAATATTCCCCATTGATGCAAAAAGCCTTCTCCAGTGGTAACTTCAAGGACCAGCAAAACAAGTACCGCCAACATTGCTGCTCTTCCGTTCCATGTTTCAGCACTTTTAGTCCAACCCCATTCCCACACTATTACAGGTGGTGGCAGTTCTCTTCGCTGTGAATCGTATGTTGCCAATAACTCTTCTACACTGCCAAGAGGGACCAACGACTGCAAAAAAAACAATAATAATAATAATAACAAAAAAATAAAATAAAATAAAAATCAAGTACCAAATATAGATTAAATGAACTCAAAATCTCAGAAGGAAAAAGATTCAACTAATAAAATATAAGAGGTGTGAAAATGGACTCCTTTTAAAGAATCCACTGCAAGGTTCATCATATTTTTGTTCAATATAATGTTCTGGTTGTAATGTGAATATCTTGGTTACTTTCACCATACATAAACAAAGTGAACATCCCTCCTTTTGCCAATTTGCTTATGTTATTTACTGCTTACCCCATTTCCAGCAAATTAAACAGCTATTAGTCACTAAAGATTCATAACACTACCCAGAAGTCCCGCCTTGACCTTCTGCTGCCATTAAGTTTTAATTCACCGTAATGAACTATCCATAAAACAGCCAGTATTCTTAACAAAACAGCAATAAGCGGCATCAGTATAGATATGATTCTATCATCAATTAATCTGATGCCACTCATGCATTTGATCACACTACCAAAACATTACCCTCCAGTCCAGCATGATAGAAATAAGATATTCAACAACATTAAAGAAAGCCCAGTGAATTCCCCCTATTCCAGAATACCCTGATTTGCCATATATTGAAACCCTTATCAATCAATCAGATCCACAAGAATGGTAGGAAGGGAAAGGTAACATAATAAACCATACGGAAGCACCAGATTTGTGGCAACAGTTGCAGAAGTTCTCTATTAGAACTCTGCTCAGTGATAGACAGTTAAGACATTACTCAAGATAACTGCCAGGAAGCATGAAACAGAGACTGTTCTCACAGACAATCAAGTTCATCAACACATAGCTTCCCCCGGGTAGGGTGAGAATGTTTTCCTTAAAATGTTAAACATTTAATTTTATGCAGAAAAGTATTAAACTTGTTACGTCATGTGATTTTCTCCAAAGACCTGGGAACTACCTAGCCTTTACATGATCTCTTATGAGATCAACACCAAAAAGAGTAAAAAAAAATTTGATCCTGTTGCCCACCTGATGCAGGCCTTCCCGTTGTTTTGGCTTTAACAATGGAAACACCAATAGAAAACAGGAAACACATCCTATAGAGTTTGACTGGTAGGACCCAACATCTAGACTAGAGTAAACATTAAACAGAGCACTTCTCAACTTCCTAAACACTATCTTACAGCTAGAGCAAGAAACACAATTTGAAGTAAATTAATGGCAGAGCAAATCAATGTCCACGTGATCTTAGAAAGTAAACAACCAGAAAGGAAAGGGACCAAGGGCCTCTAGCTCACATAAGGAAATTCTAAGAAGAAAAAGTCAGCCATTCCGATTATTTTGGTACTGTAGATAAAAAAAACGTGACAGACTATGATTTAATCAAATCAAGCAATTGAGCAGAATAAATTTTCATTGTTAGTCTGGAGAAGCAGTCTGATAAAAACTGTTTGTATCAATTACACATTATTTACTAAGAGACTTAGTGGCCATTTTGTTTGAAAAACCTTCGAATTAACAAAACTTCCAGATGACAGCACATTCAACTGGAACTGTGTCTGGAGCTATAAAATATTATGATGTCAAAAAGTAAGATTAGTTTAACTCACCTGTCGAGCTTCAAGATTTGAGACTGCCATTGCCCCAACATAGGGTAGACTTTCAATCACAGCATTTGCCAAATCTGTAATGAACGTCGGCTCACAACCAAGTGCAGGAACACGTCCCCATTTCTGTATCCCAGATTTTAGAGCCAACTCCTTATACTCCACATCAATCTCCTCCAGTGTTTCAATATGTTCACTGACAAAACTGTAAATTGCCAAAAACAACAAGAGCTGCCCATGAGATTTAGTTCAGAAACATGAAAAATCAGAAATTATGTATGACAACAGTGTGGAGTCGAATAGGAAACTTCTGTCACATGATGTTTATACCTAATGGGAACCGCCAGAAGACTCTTGACACCTTTTTGACCAAGCTCAATGATTGTGTCGTCAGTATAGGGTTTTAACCACTCAACAGGACCAACCCTACTCTGCAACAAAGATAAATAAACACCACTAGTTACCGCCAGTGAAACAACAAAATTATCAAAACCAGAATCTAAAAGAAAAGGCCAAAAGAGCAAAGAGTACATTTGATGCAAAAAAAGTATTAGAGCTTTTGTTCTCGCATCATATTTAGGAAGGGCGAACATAAATGATAAACCATTAGAGTCATATTGACCGCTACTTTTAACATATGAAAAAGGTTATAGCATGTTTGAAATATACATAAAGGAATAGAACCAGACTTCCCTTTTATTCAGTGACTCATCCAAAGAACGCAAAGTTGACAAACAGCTACGGAAACATATGGGACCCATATTAAAGGCACTGTTTAATAGATATAATTAATCTAGGCACAAGTGAATTAAAGAAAACAAAAGGTAAAACAAATTTAATAGATATAATTAAGCTAGACATAAGTGAATTAAAGAAGACAAAAGGTAAAACAAAGAACGTTTGGCAACATTTGATCTGCTCAAGCTGATAGTAACGAAGGAAAGCGATGAAGAAGTTGTAGAAAAGATAAAAGAGAGTGTGACAAAACTAGGTAGATGTTGAAAGTAGTTGAATCCAAATCATCGACATGTTTGCAAGCGCTCAAGTTGTAAGATTTAGTTTTTAGTTGGGTGAATGAAGAAATGTGATAAACATTATGTTTATCATTATCATTACATGCAGTATGCTGAATCTAAAAGCTTAATTTCTTGATTCTCTACTGTGTAGAGGATTCCAAATCTAATAAATGGAGATTTTAGATTGCAGTTGGAACAGAGAATCAGGAAATAACAAGCAAATATGTATATAAGATTGAAAAAAGTTATAATTAAAATTATCCCAGAAGCACTGCACTTATATGATAGCACTCTCATCAACGGATTTACAAGCATCAGCAACTAGGGCCCAACAATAAAACCATAATATATACGAGAACTGGTATATAGCACAAGGGTTAATGGTTCTGTTCCATGTTTGTCACAGAACCAGGAATCAATTTAAAATCCCCTGATTCTCTTTCATACCTTCAGTAAAAATGAAACTTAACAAATATGAAGGAAACCCCACAATCATAACGAAAGAGATAAACTACCATAGAGGGGAAGACAATAACCGACTGCCCAAAATATACCCAAAACCATGTATATGGACTATGGGATCCAATAATGCAGCAATGAAGAAAGATTGAACTAATGAAATTTCAGGTATTTTGTAGGGCAAAAAAACAACGAAGAAATGTCACTGCTAATGCTAACGTATACTTTGCTAAAAAGCAAAATGCAAATAGCATGTAGTCACAAATATAAGAATACCACAGAGATACTAGATTAGAAAACAAGAAAAGAAAAAGAAAGAGATTCTAGATTAACAGAATTGACTCTAAAGAGACATATAGAGATGAGACAGACTGAGGGAAACTGGAATCATAGAGCAAAGTTAATAAAAAGATAAAAACATTCCTCAATCTAAAGAAAAAAAGATTAAAAAGCTTTAAGCTTTCCACTAAATTCACCAGCTTTTGGAGGAGGAAAACAACTACATGGTCAGGAAACAATATAAAGCTTCAGCTTATCAATTCCAGATGACACAGAGTATTATACAAATGTTAAGATTAGATACCTGATAGGCAAGAGTATATGCATTGGTGATTTTCCTATTTTCTAGTTCTTCCATAATAAGATCAACACATTCCTCCATCTCAGCCTTATATGGATCACCAGCTTCCTCGACATACGCAAGTGGAACACCATGTGCACTAAAGAAAATCATGACCTGTGATAGACAGATAAAAGGTTCATGACTGCCATGGCTGCCTAGAGAAGTTCCTCAAAGAAGAAGCAAGGATTACAAGAGAATTTTCCCAGCAAATGGCCTGTGCTAGATCCTATTTCAGGACCATAACACAAAAAGGGAAAGAGACAACCAGAAAATAGAAAGGATAAGGAACTAAGGGTTAGAACAATTGTGTTTCATGCTTAAATGATGGAGATACCAATTTAAAATAAAACTACACATTTACAAAATATTAACCCAAACACCTCAGACACTTGCAATTAAAAAGAAAACAATAATCTAATTGATATGATTTAAAGTAGAATGCTAAAAGTGAAAAGAACCTGCAAAACCTTTCCTCAACCGATAATCCGTCTACTTAGACATTGTTTTTACTTTACAGATTTCCTAATAGACAGTGTAGGGAAAGAAAGTAGGAATTTAATTCCACGTATTACAACAGATACATAAATAGGTAAAGATGCTTGTCAAATGAACTGTTTAGCCTACCAGGTATGCAGTAAGCAATCAAATTTAAAATGTATTGGTTGTCTCTACTGAAATCAGGGAGAGGTAAAGAGACAATTACAAACCCAAACTGGTCGAATGATGTGAAAATGAGCTAAAGCAAAAAAAGCCTTTCTCAAGACTCAAGCTAACACCTACCAGTAAAATATGAGAATATATTAAACCTACAAGTTTACAGGTTTTAATTCCGGGACCAGGTCAACAAAAAGAGCGGAACTAGTCAGACATGATGATTATGATGAAAAACCCTTGAAGTTGTTTCCTACGATGCATTTGCATATGATGTCCCTTTAATTGGTGATGTTATGAAAGATTTTGGCTTTCAGACTGAGAGGTTGGGTAGGTAGATAAGCTGACACATTCTATTGACTGCTGTGTTCAAAGCACTATAGTTTGGAACCAAGGTACATGAGCTGATCATTAACCTCGGTAGCAACTTCCAGCCATGAAAAAGTCGAGGAAAATCTCAGGAATGTATCTATGACAATGACAGGAATGTTAAATATATGCATGCAGCCTTATCATCCTGAGAAAACCTACAACTAAGCTCCCACATCTGCTAGCTGAAAACTAAATATTTGGTCAGCGAAAACATCTGTTCGGGGAACCATTTTAAGCTCTCAAAGTGTGTTACCTTTAAAATTAAAATAATGATACTAATAGGTCCAAGAAGTGCTGTATTTAGTGATACATAAACCACCGAATACGACTATTGCTGAACCTCTTGTACAGATTACCGTGAAGGATGACTTTCATATCTTCATTCACACAACTAGAAATCAAGGAATGATAAAAGCAACACAAAAGAAATAAATCAATATTAAAATATCAACAAATGAGGAATATCAAACAATATACAACCTCGGAGATAAATGGTATGATGAATTTGGCAGCATGGTCATCAATAGTAGAACATAATACTTGGACAATAAGCATTAGATCAAACAAAACTACTCATTGATTGGTATTCAAATATGCTTTGGAACCTTAAAGATTACCTGCTCAGGATTATCAAACTTTTGTAACTCCTTTTCGATCAAATCAGCCATGGCTTTTATGTATCCTTCACGCTGGTACCAGGAAGGAATAACAGTATGTTGCATGTTAACTAGATAATCGTCCTCCCTGGAAGTCAACATACATTGTCATGGCTATTAAACACTGCAATAATCACAAAATAATATACTAGGAGGTTATTTCAAACCTGAATAAACTCTCCAAAAGACGAAGGCTTGAACCACTTGTTGAAATCGAGAATTGCGGGTAAAGAGGAAGCACAACAAGCTTTGTGATCTTATCTTTTTTAATCTGAGAAAGAGGAACCAAAAATTAATCTTCAGTACACACTCCTTAGTTAAAATCAAAAACAACCAGCACTACACAAATTTCTATTTTCCAAAAGACGGTCAATTTGTGTAAACATTCTGAGTCTCACAAAGCAGATGGCATATAGTCAATAAGGCCCAGATATGCTAAGAGTTTCTTACGCAATACGTTCAACTATTTTGCAAGTTGTAGATGCAGTTCAAAGATATCAAATCACGTAGAATGAGAAATACACAAATAACTGTAAGTCTGTAACTCTAATCACTGAAATGTGAAATTAAGTGCATTTCTTCAGAGGGCACCTGCTCAATGGCTTCTTCTGTGAATGGGTGCCAATAACGCATACCCACATACACCTTAGCAGGGACATCCTTTGCATGTAGTGCTTTTGCCAACTCTGCAGCCTGTAAGTCGAAATAATTCCCATTAGAGTGTATATGAGAACCCCTGTATGGGTGCAACCAAAAGAAACCAACATAATGCACTACTGCAATGTAAGAAAATACAACAAATTGGTACTTAAAAAGGGGGTGTTCTATTATAAATAGGATTTATTAGGATAATCTGCCACAACAAATCCTTGGAATAGTAAAGATCCATCTATACCTTAGTACTTACAACTATGTCTTATGATGCCCAGAAACACAAATTCAAAGCTTACAATAGTTAGAGGCCATCTGCATGTGATAGATGTTGATAAGAGTTTATCAATGTCTTATTACATTATCGCAGGAGCTCTTATAACGCCAACAATGTTATACCCCAACAAGTAACCAGTCGTGAAATCTTTTTCAGGAAGGTGAACTGATTAGGGGGGCCAGAAGCTTCTGCATTAATTGAACCTCCATTAATATGAATTTAATTTTCTGTTTTAAATGCTTCATTATTAGAAGTCAAGAGCTAGCTTATTTCGTGCAGTCTAACGAAAAGTTCCTCAAACACATCTTTTTAAACGAATCAATTAAAACAAACAATCTATTTTCAGAAAGTTCCTCGAAGCCAAATGGTACAAGACAACTTCTAGAGATATTAAAATAACAGCTATAACAGGAACTATGCCTGTATATAATATCCAAATGAGATGAAAGCATGATTTGCACCTCCATAGAGTGGAAAAATTCCTTCCAATTCAAGAAAGAGTAAAATTAAACAGCAGATTCCACGTAAGTCTACCACACTTAAAACTAATTTCCTGGTTACTCAGGGCTTTCACTTAATTGCAAATAGAGATCATTCAGCAAGATTTCAAATTAACAAGCTTTTTATTCTAATTTGTATTCTGAGTAAAGTTATCATAAAAGTTTCATCCCACTCTAAACCCAGAAGTCACATTGACCAGTGTAACATGTGATCTTAGATTTTTTTCAATAAAAATAAATACAATGCATCGAGACATGAAGGTTCAACTAAGCCCTGCAGTGTCAGAACACTGTACATCACATGATACAAAAGCAATTAACCATGCCACTTCCATAAGAAAACTTCCAACCAAATAATGTATCTCCTTGATATGGCATATAACAACAAAAAATTAACTGTCAGAATGAATACATAAATGTTTACCATGATTATACCGTGAAATCTGGAGTTTCATGAACAACTACAATCAATGCAGATAATGTACTTCCAAACCATAATCTTTTCACACCATTTCCATTTTATATATAAGTATCAAAAAGCATAATACGAATTGAAATTTGTGTTGATCATGCCTGAGCATCAGTTATCTGTCGAAGAGGTGATCCACCACCAATGGAAGCATAACCTTCTTTGCTCTTGGGTGCTCTAACAACAGATATAAATTGTGCTAAAGGCTTCTGAAGAAAGCGAAACAGTCTCGGCAGCCGAATAATATCCTATCCAATGGCAAGGAAACCCAAGAAATCATTTGCACCTCCAAAGCAAGCAGAGTAACATTAGCTCAAATGGATCCTAAAATTCTCATGCATTGATTATAGTATGTGTTAGTCTCACGAACTTACTGGATCAGCGAAAAGGTTGAACAAAAATGGTTGTACATCGTCAAGAGTCTCTGGACCTCCAAGATTAAGTAGCAACACACCAATCTTGTCATCACCAATAGCAGGTGTAGCAGCTACTTCACTTTCTCTTGAAGTTACCAATGCACCCATCTGGGATGAACATTTTCGGATTTGCTGCCCGGAGTGTACATAATGAGTTCTCTTCCCTCCTAATGAACATCTGGATACTAGAGAAGTTGACATAATGCCGGCATTACAACTTGCTTCCATTGGGACTACATAGCAAGGACAACTTCTATAAGAAGACGAGCTAGCCCGTGGGAACAGCCTGTGATTGTTAAAACATCAATATTCGAGGCAACAGAAAACGAAGTCAGATCATCCGTCTAATGATAGATTCTAATCGACACTAAGCTTCAAGGTGCATGAGCTCCTTTACAATTCACGCATTAGATTTTCCAAACAGCCAGAAACTCAAAGCTTACGAGTATATAAAGATCAAAGCAACTCAAGCTTGCTTTCCCAAATGTTTTGATTCAGCAGCTAGATTAATCAATCAAGAAGATTATTCTAACGCCAAATTACTATGAAATTCGTGCGGTAAACGACGAATTCACCGAATTCCAACTAAACACGACCTTATCTAACTGAACGATTCAAACTTCTAACAGGACTCATTCTTCCACCAAAAATCTTCATCAAACTTTCTTGCAAATAATTCAACTCCTAGCGTTAACACAAACAGCTATACACGAAGACAAACAAACGCCACAGAATTCTGAGTAAATGCTGTAAAGGCGGAAATACAAACAAAAAATGAAAATTGAAATAATTCTCCATAAAATTTCATCTTAAATTATCAAAGGAAGGTTAAGATCAAGTCGATAGAGCTTACAGAGGAGGAGAAGCAGATTGAATTCGAATGTGCATGGATTGGTTCATGGCCGGAACTCAACTGGAACTGAGCTGACTCAGTGAGTAGGTGAGAGAAATGGCGATAATACTTTTCTCCGGCGTTGGACTGTTTGTCTGATTTTTTGGCCGTTCCTTTTTATACGTATTGTATTTTTTCCTTTAATTCTTTTTTCAAATATTTGCAAAAACAATTTTTATGTTTTGTGCTCTTTTTCTTTCTCCCGAGTTGGCTTCTTCCGCCCCAAATTTGTGTGGGTCTAAATAATAGGCCACCACATTTTCCTAAAATTATCCTGTTTGCAAATTTTGTTTGCCTTCTTTTATTATTTTTTATTTTTTATGGTTTCTCCCTAATTAATCCTGTAACTTTTGGGAAAAAAATGTTTAAATTTTTCATTAAATTTGAGTTACGATGATGTTATATTATAGCGGTATCAAATTTTATTATTATTATTTTTTGATATAATGTTGAGTTTTCTTTTTTTTTTTTTGATGAAGGTTGAATTTCATCATGGAATATGAATTAGGTACAATCACTGATTTTCTCAAAAGATCTCTACACAAAGGGTATTTACTTTCTACCTATACATTAATATAAGCAAAAGATCACCACATAAAATAGCAAAATCTAGAACATCTTCATCATATTACTCCAAGGCTCGTTCTTGAAAGTATTCTTCATTTTAGTTATATTGGACATAACATTTTCAATGAAAAGGAGATATTCTAGTTCACCTCTGTTTTAGAAACTCTTGTTTAGCTAAAAATAACCTGATTTTCACCTCCCGAATATGATAAACCGCAGCTGCTACCACTCTTCTAGTAATACCATGGCATACCGAGTTTAAGCCATATTTCTCCAACAACTCTCTCATAAAGAGAAGTCAGTTGAATGCCAAGATCTCTACACCAACCAAAATGATGGCTTTGGTAATAATCTAAATGGAGAATAGATATTCAAAAGACATATGCTCCACATTTTCCTCCTCCATCATACACAGGGGTCATCTAATATCAAGCATTGGATCATATTTGGCAATTTTAACTCTAGTTTTCAACTTGTCTAAACAAGCCAACCAAGTAATAAAACTATTCTTTGGGACAATAAACTTACCTCGAGAGATGATGTACTCTGGACTGCGTTGGTGTTGTTGGTATCGAAATTTATTGTTTACTTATTATTTTTTATAATTTTGATTGAGAAATAATCCAAAATAAACTAACGAAAACGTGTAAATAATGCGATTTACTGATTTTGCACCACATCCTGATACCAGAAAGTTTGTATAAAGTAAGCTTATACGAAAGGCGGGCGGTAGGTTGTATCAGCTCTGATAAGATTTCCGGTGACCATGTAATAATAATATCAATAAAAAGATAATGAGAAGATTATATATTCTCCTTTTTTTTAAAACTTATAGGAGAAACTCTCTAATTTAACACTCATGTTTAATCAATCAAAATATTATCATACTTTAGAAAGGAGACTTTACAACTTTTGAATGCAAGTAAAAAAATTAAAAATTAAGGATTTCAATATAAATTTTAAGGACAAACAAACCTCGTTAGCTCTTATTTTACCAAATCTTCTTTTTTCATATTTTATGTAGTTATTAGTTTACGCTACTGATTGGATTGATATTTTTATAGGGATATTTCCAAAATTTATTATCATATTATTTTATTAATTTTAGTCCCTTTTTTTTATTATGGTCTCAAGTTGGGATAAAAAAAAAAGAATTGACATTTATAGAGTTTATTAATTTATAAATTTTTATTGTGCTTTGAATGAAATACTAAGCAAGAAGTAAAGTAAAATTCAAATGCTGGCTCTACTAGATTAGTCTAATTTCTTTTCTTTTCTTTTCTTTTTTTGTGAAAGGTTAAAATATATTAACTTTCCAACACTTTTCTCCAATTGCAAACTATCTCAGCTATTACATTACCTTCGTTCTCAGCATCACAATCTATTGGTTACATTTTAGAATCCTAGCATTTCAATGTACATTTTCTCATTTTGTCTCAGCTTTTGGCAGCACCCTTTGACCCTCCATTTCAGCTCCAACTTAATCCGTTCTACCATCATCACTGATCCTCTTCCCTCCATGTTGTAAAGCATTTCTAAGCTTCCAAATATGATACAAAGCAGCATCCATCACACCATACACCACCTGTCTCTTCACTCTACTTTGCTTCCATACATTCAACAGCCTTGTTTCCAAACGATCAATTTTATCAGGAATTCCTTTACACTTCAACCAATCAACTAGTTTATGCACCACCTGTTGCGAGTAGTTGCACTGGAAGTACAAATGATCAAGTGTTTCCTCTTCACTTAGGCAGAAACCACAAATTAAGGACTGACTGATGATTTACAATCTCAGCAACCTATCAGAAGTGAGCAGCCGCCTCTTTAAAGCCAACCATAGAATGCAACAATGTTTTGGAACATTGCATCTATTCCAAACAATTGCAGCAGATTTCATTTTACTATCATCACCTCTAAGCCAGTCATACCCTGATGCAACAGAATATTGATTATTTTTACTCAGCAACCATCTTCTCTGCAGTACATTGGCCTTGAGTTTCTCTTTAATCTGCATCAGCCTCTTCCAGTACCAAGGAGCTCCTAAACCAGTCTCATAATTCCATACATTCTGACCCTTTAAGTAATACTCATGTCACCATTTCACCCATAAATTGTCCTTCTTTACTGCCAAATCCTAAATTTGTTTGCCTAGAACAACCTGATTCCAAACATAAGGCTCTTTGAAGTTTAAACCCCCCTGCTTCTTTGGTCTGTATAAATCATCCCAAGCTACCAGGGCATACGCTCGTCCATTCTCCTTCTTTCCCCACAAAAAGTCTCTACAAACCTTTACCACCTGTGTGATTAGACTCTTTGGCAGCATGAAGATTGACGCCCAGTAAGTGTGCAAGGTCAACAACACTGCATTTACCAGGACAATCCTACCAGCATAAGATAAATGCCGAGTTGTCCAACATTTAACCCTAGTTTTTATCTTTTCAACTAGCGTATGACAATCAATTTCCCTCTACTTATGAGGAGATATAGGTATTTCTAAATACTTCATGGGAAAAGACCCTATATGAAATCCCATAATACTCTGAAATTTCTGTCTATCCTCTTCACTAACCCCTCCAAAATAAATATGGGACTTATTCTGATTTAGCACTTGAACCAGATGTGACAAAGAATTCCTCTAACACTTCCTTAACCTACTAACAGTCAACTGATCAACCTTGCAAAGGATTATCAAATCATCAGCAAAGCTGAGATTTGTAATCTGCAACCTTTTACATTTTAGGTGAAAGTGAAAGTCCCCCAAGCTAACCTCATACTTAAACAAACGTCTAAGATATTCCATACAAAGAACCAATATCAAGGGGGAAACAGGACCCCCCTATCTAATACCTCTTTCCCCTTCAAAGTACCCTATTAAGCCGTCATTCATGCAGAGCGAGAAGCTACATGTAGAAATACATCCAGTGAGCCAAGAATTAAACTTATAGGGAAATTTATAAGCTTCCAGCGCCTCAGTGACAAAGGACCATGAGATAGAGTCGTAAGCTTTTTGAAGATCCACTTTCATGAGGCAACGTGGCGAAGTGTTCTTTGATGAAATCCCCCTGATTCTGCTCAACCAAGTCAGCCAAAACCACAGATAGGCGATTGCTGAGTATCTTAGTAATACATTTATACAATGTATTACAGCACGAAATAGGCCAGTATTCTGCTGCTGACTGAGGACTGTCATTTTTTGGAACCAACGCAATCACAGTTGCATTAATCTGCTGCAATAGTCTTCCTGTTCTGAAAATTTCTTTACAGCATCACAAGTACTCCTCCCAATTATGTCCCAAGTTCTCTTAAAGAATCCACTATTACATCCGTCGGGTCCAGGACTCTTTGATTCTTCAATGGAAAACATAGCTTGTTTTATTTCACTGTCTTTCACATCACTGTCAACAAAGGGCCCATTTCACAAACCTCCTTCCTGACTGGAGTTCTGCCTATTTCTGTCCTAAGAAGCTTCTTGAAAAACCCTAGGAAATGATCTTCGATTTTTTGCCAATCTTCTACCAAGTGCCCATCTTCATCAGTGTATGAAAGCATTCTTTTCCTCTGTTGTTTTTCCTTAAAACAGCATGAAAGTACGCTGTATTAAGGTCCCCTGTTTGAAACCATTGCTCCTTCACCTTTTGCTGCCAAAAACTATAAGCATTAGCCTCCACTTCTTCATACTTTTGAGCTACTTCTTTTTCCTTTTCTTGGAGTTCTTCACTATGTGGCTGATCCTGTAATTCACTTTGCAACATTTCCAGCTCCATCTTACATTCCAATACTTGCTAAACAATATTAGCAAACTTGTGTTTATTTTAGCTCTTTAAGGAGGGGTTTTATCATTATCTGCTTCTGAACCAACTGGAATTGTTTAGTGCCTCTGATATCCAGCTGCCATATCCTTTCTACTAATCCTTTATACTCTGGATCCCTAGTCCACATATTGAAGAATCTAAACCATTCCTTGTACGATATTCATTATACACCCACCTGATCATTATTGGACAATGGTCTGAAACACCCTCAGGTAACACAATTGCAAAGCTTTCATCAAAACACAACATCCATTCTTCATTTACTAATCCCCTTTCAAGCTTTGCATAAATTCTCTGAGTACCTAATTGTTTATTGTTCCAAGTGAAGGAGCCCCCATGAGTAAGCAGTGGGCACAAGTTACAATCTTCTATGGCCATCTTAAAATCCCCTACATCAGCATGACTAACAGGTAGTCCACCCACTTTTTCTTCTGGACAGTATTAAAATCACCTGCCAATAACCAAGGTTCTTTTACCCCATGACCAATTCCCTGAAGCTGATCCCACAACTGTAATCTATCATTCTCTGTATTAGCACCATAAACAACTGTTAAAAGAAACTTCCTTCTAGCAAGCTTATTCTCCACCTCACAGTGCAAAAACTACTCCTTAATATTCGCCATCTTCACACAGATTTCATTCCTCCTCCACATTCGTACTATTCTATTCCTTCCTCCACCATGACTGTTCCCTTGATACGCATAATCTGACCAATGGTGCTGCATATACTCCGCTAACTTTACATCTTTCATCTTAACTTCTACAATTCCAATGATACTAGCATAGTTTCCTGAGGCTAAATTTTTTAGCTCTC